TGATACCTCAAATTTTTCAAAAACTGCGCTTATGTGCCCTGTTCTCAAAGCCCCTCGAATGGGGTTGTCAAATCCATCCATACAATGCCGAATTCCTCTAAATGTATATTTAATGGGCGTATTTATGTTGACAGGCACTAGACAGAAATAAATAAAATGCAGAGGAACTACATGCACAGGATTTTGATTAAACTCTTTAGTACATAGTTCCTTTTAAAATAAATCCATTCAAATATATGAAAAACGGTTTTGAACATTCACTCATTTGTACCCTCACCCTTCATAGGATGGAAACTCCCGGAGACGTACCATTTGCTCATTGCAGGAACCGTTCAGTGGCGTGGCGTGCTTTGCGATGATAGATCGATCGATCTGCCATTTAAACCTATGGGAAAGAATCGATTCACAGGGTGTTCGCAACGAACACTATGGTAATCGATCTTTCACCACAGCTTAAAAGGGGGAAAGATCGATAATCGATCATTCCCGCCTTTCCACAGGAGCAGTTCCTGCTTCAATAAACTTGGATCTAGAGAAAGCAGGAACCAATGAGAGGGACAATCTAAGTTTTAGTACGAAGTTTCAACTTTCAAGGGACAGACCTGAGTTCTCAGGAACTTCGCACTAAGCTTCGACATCGGGAACTTCTACTTATCACGAGTCTCTTAGGATCACGTCTCAAAAAGAAGTGTCGCTACCTTCTTCCAGGATCCTAGGACTTTTTAGTTCCAACTCATTAACCTACCTTTACAACTAACTCAGTATCTGAGCCATCAACTTTAGAATAATTATTCTCGTCAACGATGAAACAAAGTGCTTTGTATCGAGAACTCTACGCCGAAAATGTTCGCAGATAAAATAAAGTGGGGGAAATCGGCAGTGTAGACGTCGTTCCGTAAATGACGTCAGACTATTCCCCGACTTTTGAACTTTCTGCCTCCTCTATGTCAAGCAAAGTGAACCCCCCAAAAAGTTGTTGTTTTACTCACAAAAAATCGGCTCTCTGCTGTTTTTAATCAAAATTTGTTTGTAAAAGGCGCTCCAGCCCATTATACTGCCGTGCTAAGAAAAACGCCGTATGAACTTTCAGGAGTTGCCAAATTTCCTTGATTAAAACTTGTAAACTTGAGGATATTTTCCTTCCAGTTTTTTTTTAGATAATTTTGTTTACAATTTCAACGAAAGTTTCTGAAAATTTAAAGGAAAAATATTCATTGAGTTCCTCAAAAATAAACATTTTACCTTTTCATTCCAGGATCAGGGTGTCTACCAGTTATGAAAAACCAAAATTGAGGACTTTTGGTGACTTTTAGGGGTGTTTTTTCAAGAAAATCGGGGACTTTTCTCCCGAATTAGTAAGAGAAAGGGAACTACTTAGAGCGTTAAAGGCGTATTTTATGCGACTAATTTTACAAGTCATAATGAACCGATGAAAACATACGAAAAACCAAGCATTACTTTGCAGTTATTTTATTCCTTGTTATACCGCTCCGCCGAAAATTTGAAAATGTCGGTGTTTAGGACGATTTTTGTCATTTTTTGGGGACCTGAACAAGAAAATTGGGGACTTTCGGGGATATTGGAGACACCCTTCCAAGATAGGGGATAATCGGGGACATTGGGGACCGGTAGACACCCTGAAGATACATACTGTAGGGTGTGAAATAAACGTAACATGAACGAATAAAACAAGTACATACTCAAGATTTCATTTCACTAGGCGCTCTCCCTATGCTGCCGTGCTAAGTAAGAACACCGTAAATCCATCAAGATTTTCCCACGTTTTTTGGAACTTAGCACTTTATAACATAAAAACTGTTTAACCCATGCACTTCAAATCTTCAAGTTAAGTTCTTGATAGTATTTGTGAAAGAAATCTGTAAAAATATTGTTTCAAGGTAGACAAGTTTTTCTGCTATGATACGTTGTTTCCAAAACATGTGAAATGGCGTTTACGGCGTTTTTGCGTTGCACGGCAGTATAGAAGACTCACAAAATCTGGATGGAGTCCGCGGTGTTTCCTCAGCGCGACAGAAGCTCTCCTCCCTCAAATCCGTTGGAAACAAAATCAATCACATTTGGTGAGGTCCCGAACATTTCCTGCCGCCTCCGAAGCCGCAGGTCCGCAGAGAGCGGCTCGAACCCCGAAACGAGAGCGAAGCGTTCGGAAATTATCCGCGGCGGAAATGAATAAAGGAGCGTCGGACCCGGGAGACNGGGGGGGGGGGGGGACCAAGAGATACTAGCGATTGGTGAGAAAACGCGGGCGACGTCAACATCGAGAAGAAGAAGGCGGAGGAGGCGGCAGTGGTGGGCGCTCGGCTCGGAGATAGCGACGGACGGAGCGAGCAGCGGAGCTCCCTTTTTTCCAATCGCATCGAACGTTCATCGAATCAATTGCCGTTTCCGCACGACGCCGAGCCCTAGGGGCCGACGCCGCCGCCGCGCCACCGCGCCGAGCCGCGCAAAAATATAATTAAAGCGATAAAACGAAATTAAAGTTCATAAACGCCGGGCGCTCCTGGGTGACGCGGCGTTGCCCGATTTTCGCGGGTCTGACGGCCACTCAAAGGTAGAGAACCCATATTGAGAGAGTATGGCCACTGGTGTTACCACCTCTGATTGGTAGTAGCGTGGCGTGAATCGATTGTAATGCCATGTAAACCTATGGTAAAGAATCGATTATTAAGGCGTTCGCTGCGAACACCCTGTTTATCGATCCTTTTCCATAGGTTTAAATGGCATACCAATCGATACACCGCAAAGCACGCCACGCCACTGCTGATTGGCTCAGCCATCTGATGCTGAATTAGGCTTAGGAGCCCTTAGGACCCAAAAATGGCGGACGCCATAAATTAATGTAATGCAAAATGACTCAAAATGTAGTTTTCTATGCTGATCGTAACGAGAAATTTACTCAAATGCACTGTTGCGACTTCTTTACATATTTTTAAGGCTAATCGTGTGCAATTTTTGAGAAAAATTATCTTAGATGTAGTAAGGTTGGCAGCAAGTGCGGTTGGTGATAACCGTCAAAAGTTGGCAATGACCCCCCTCCAAAACAAAGCACCGCCATTTTTGGGTCCTAAACCTCTCCATGGGGCCCAGTGGCCATACTCTCTCAATATAGGTACTCTACACAAAGGTTGCCGTGCAAAGGAAAAACGCCTAATGAACCTTCAGACGTTGCCAAGTTTCCTTCAGTAGAAGCCGGATTTACTGAGGGAATAAAAAATGTGCAAGTGTCTTAAACATCATTCTTTGAAATTTTCACAGAATATTCGTTGAGCATAGAAGAAAAATCACGACGGTTTTTCAGACTTGCCGTTGAGTTGTTTCCCATTTAAAAAAAATATGACAGGAAATCTGAAACGTCGCAAACCGAGATAGGAACAGTGGCGTGGCGTGCTTTGCGGTATATCGATTGTTATGTCACTTAAACCTAGGGAAAAGTAAAGTATGGAAAAACAGGGTGCTCGCAGCGAACACCTTAATAATCGATCATTTACCACAGCTTCAAAAGGGGAAACATCGATGGATCGCAAAGCACGCCACGCCACTGGATAGGGAGTTTCATCGTCGATTTATTTTGTGAGGAAAGTTCCCTACTCCTCGAGGAGGCCTTTCATTCTTAATATGTTGGAGCGCCTTCAATTTTGTATGATACTGTGCAACACATTTGTTGTGAAATAGTTGCTTCAGGCGCCGTGGCACACTGTACTGCGGCGCGGCGGGCGACCGACCAGCGCATTGGCGCCTACAAACCTAAGTGGATACTTCCAGCATTGCGTGAAGTATCCCTCTAGGTTTGTAGTCACCAGTGCGTGTTTCGCGCTGGCAGCGCGCTGCTCCGCTCTAAGTTTCGCTCTGCATGGATTATTCTCTTTTAAATTGATGAAAAAAAAGGAAGAAAGAAAGAAGAAAAAAAAAAGAAAAAAAATGTATTCAAGGAACATATAATGAGTGTTTTGTCAATGTTAAGTTTGTTCCGTGTCAAGTTTAATGATTTCCAAAGTCCTTTAATTTTTTCTTTTATATTTTGTGCTTTTACTTTGCTGCAGCGTGGTGTACGCGCAACCAAACGCTCATAATCGGACGTATTTACTCTACAAGATCGATGTACAAATTGGTTAAAACCAAAGATTGCGTGCTTCTTAGTTTTTTTTCTCTCTCTCTCATTTATTTTTGCAAATTCCTCTCAACACAACTACGGCTAATTGAGATTAATATCGATGTCATCGCATTGGAAAGGTTTTACAAATATTTGCCACGTTTTAAAAATGTAGATGTTCTTAAAATGAAGTAATATTTTCTTAAAAAAAAAAAAAAAAAAAAAAAAAGTATTAGTTTGGTATATTTTATATTTAACATTTTAAAGGTATATAAAACCAGATATTCAGCAATGAAACTTTGAAAAGATGAATCCAGGTAATAAAGGAACATTTCAATTAAAAATGAATTACCATACAAACATCTTCTTCTCTCTCGATTTTCTCATTCCCATATTGTCGATATAATTTTAAATACGAACTAAAATATGACGCTTGGACGAAGCCACTGATGCCTAATTTACGCGTGGACGTAAACTACTGGATAAAAAAGGTGCGCGGAGAAAAACTCGTTGACGAAATGTCCTGAAACCGCTGAGGGCTGAATTTATAGTCGTTGTTTGAATGAGTTGAGGATCACATTTTAGCTAATCTACAAAAATCAAACATCAAAACACGATTTTGTAACCAACGCAACTGACAAATGGACGTATTTCTATCAAACGGAACTAAGCGCCAATTTGAGTTTCTTTTGAGGAAATTAGAATGCCGGATAGCGCGTTCTGTCAAACGGACCTAAGCGCCATGGAAAAGCATTGCGAGTATCCATTCGGAATGAGTCCGACGCCCAATCCCGCCGCTAATCCAAGCCCCCCCCCCCTTTCTCACCCTATAGCGCTTAGTTCTGTTTCACAGAAATACGTTCAAATTAAAGAAAGAAAAAAACCTCTATCCTTTCTAAATGATTTATTCAAATAGCTCTGTTCATCATTCATACATGGTTAGTTAGTTCATTATTTTCATAAGAGGCAATAAGCAACTGCTTAGGCCATATAACAGAACCGATATTGGTCCATACTTTTCGGAAACGATTTTCCATAACCTACCGCCAATCCAGAGTCTATATCCATGGGGCTATTGGGGCAAAGTCAATCGGCCGGACGACCATCGGGACCAATTCAGGGAGGGAAGCTTGGGCAAGGCGCCGCTCCAAAACGGCTTCGGACCGGCGGACGCGCCGGAATGATGACGATGATGGACACCACCCCCTCCGGCACCGTGCCACAAGTGACCACCAGCCCCCGCAGCCGCGCCCTTCTTGTCCTCGTCGGCTGTGGTCCGCCTCCGGCCGAAGAAACGCTTGGACTTGCTGCCTTTGAAACTGGAGCGACTCAGGTGGGAAGTGTTCGACGGTACTCTGTTCATCCCGGCATTTCCAGCGAGAGTGAGGGCTCCCGCATTGTCCTGTGGCGGCCAGTTGTAGTATTGACCGCTCCTGTCTTTGAGCCGGAAAACGGGCGGGTTGATGGTGTTGCGAGATGTGAATGTATTGAAGACCGGGCAATAATGGCCGACGGAAGGGCTGATGACGGTGCCCAGAGACAGGTACTCGATGTAGTGCTGAGCGTTGCAGGAAACGCCTGCTCAGGGGGAAAAGATCGATATGAACTTATTGTCAAATAGAGACAGTATATTCACTACGCACAAACTATGCTATTTAAAAGATGCAATCGAGTGAAGCAAAAAGTAAAGTTCTGGGGCCGAATTTTGCCGGTCCTTCCACCGTGCGTAAATATATTTGGGACGGGTTTCGACTGCACTTAAGTGCGGCTTAGATTGGCCGATGGTGCGGTTTGAACTCATCGGTGGAAGTTGCGCTCCGTGTGAAAAAGCCGACAAAATTCGGCCCCTGGGGTCAATACTACAGTGGCGAGGCGTGAATGATCGATTATCGATATTTTCCCATTTGAAGCTGTGATAAAGAATCGATTATTAAGGTGTTCGTTGCAAACACCCAGTTTTCGATCCTTTTCCACAGGTTGTAATGGCAGATCAATCGATTTATCGCAAAGCATGCCACGCCCCTGCAATGCTACGTTCGCCTACATTCATAAAAATATGTGCTCTTGCGTTACTTCTGGTTAATATAGAAACACAAACCAAAACTTTTGTGTTGTATATCAGCGCAAAACCTTTGCCAGGAGGGTAGGAGGTTCAGAAAGGCAGTCAAAACGCTTTACGTAACACTTAAACAAGCTCTAACTCCCTCTGCTGATAGAATGACTGAAATAATTTAATTTTTCACTTGAGCATGATCAACTGTGTTATTTTACCCAAAATTTTGCTGATTTTTACGTGTGACTAGGGAAAATAACAGTGAAATGTCCGGTTAGAAATGCTTGGAATATTTCTACTAAAAATACGATTTTCAAGTTGAAATCCTAATTTAGTTACGTTCTACAAAGACTGTAGACAAGAAAACAAGAAGAAAAAATCCAACATGAGTATGTTGGAAAAGTGTGCCGAATAACTGAAATGTTGGACAAATACCTCTTATTTTCACGTCTTTGCTTTTTGCATCAATTGGTACTTTTTGCTAAATTTGGGAGATAATATTGATTCATGAACGTTGAATGTAAATTAATTTTAAAGATTCCGTCTAATTATCTTGATTTTAAGCTGATATGCGGCATTTGCGCACGACCAAGATTTGGGCGAACTGCCGTGCATCGAAATCGCGTTCAGTTAATCTCTTTGGATTTCGAACTGTAACTTATCTCCTATTCGGCCGATTTGTACAAATGAGGTCTCTTTTTATTTGTACTTCAACGGAAAGTAAAGAAAAACTCGCTAAATAGACGGAAAACAATTTTTGAGAAAATTTGGTGGATCCTGGCATCACGGTGAATGGTTAATCGGTTAATCGCCTCGCCGTCTTTTATTGCCTTGCTCGAAACCGGACACCCAAAGCTATATCGCGAGATAACTGTAGTGGTTTAAGTGGATTTCGGCAGGGGCCATGGTTAGTACATAGTATAATGAGTCACGAGGCTCATCACAGATTGCACTTACAGTGCAAGACGCTCATTGGCTATAGAGTTTTGGCGGGAAAGAAGGTTCTAGAGTTGAGTCCTCCGAGCGTAAGAAAGCTCCTATGAGGTTTCTGTCAAATTGAATAATACGGTTTTGACAGAAAAATGTTCTCAAGGGTTTCCAATTAGCAGTTCATTAGATTTTTCGGTAAAAGACCATCAGGGCTTGACAGTGTAATGGTTCAAAGACAAAGAAACGGGTGCGAGGAAAAAAGTATTTGGACGACCCGTTGAATAGCATTGGTTGATCTGTGTGCTGTACTATGGTACATCCGAGTGATTTCAAAAAGCGAGCCCTACTGGCACGCTTAAAATAAGGAGGCCCGATGCACACACATCAGAGAAATGCTACTAGTCAATTTCGACCAAATCTGCTGGAAGGGAGGTTAATGTAGAGTATCTATTTATGGAAGGTACGGACAAGTCGTAATATGGAGCTCTTAGGGCCCAAAAAGTCAGTCAACCTTTTGGCACGAAAAATGTCACTGCCAATTTTCAGATTCCAATAATAAACAAAGGTGGCCAAGAACGCTCTTGAATGAACGTTTTTCCGCAAAAAATGAGTAAAAACATGTAAAAATTAAGTCAAGTATGCGCTTTACAAACGAGGGGTCGTAATAATTGTAATAATAAATCGCTCTGAATAATTTGAATTCATATGTTGCCCACTCTTTTGGGCCCTAAAATTTGGGTCTCAAAAGTACCGACATGACCGTACCCTCCCTGACCATGTACTTTAGGATATTGCACGTAGGTATTTTTTCGTAATTCTAAATTAAATCAATACGTCAATTTACTTGCGTTCGTTCGATGGAGCTAGTGGACGATCTATGTTTTAAATCATTAACAGAAAGTAACCATACAACACTCGCCATTGAGCTTTTCAAACATACCGTTAAAAGGCACCGTGACGCCATCAAGCTTCTGGGCGAGGATTTCGGCATTATAATAACCCGTGGTGAAAGATTTCAGCACGACAGAACACATCTCGTTCTGCTCAAAAATGATTTGTGTGCCAGGCGTCAAGTTGGCCAAGTCGTAGATCGCACCCTTGGCTTCCCTCGGCGATTCAGCGCCTGATGGGCATTGCAGGTGAAAGAGCTTGTCCGTCTGTATCGCGAGGAATTTGCCGCTGGGTTGACCACACCACAATTTACTGCCATACTTTTGGGTGGTGACAATCGATCCTTGCTTGACTTTTTTTAGGCTCCGACAAGGGAATGAGACAGCCTCAACTTGCAGTCGGAGGGATTCGCTCAAACACAGAAGTCCGATGAGTGACCGGTAGGCCACCGACATCATCATGCTGATCGGAAGTCCGACCCCAGATGAGGGCTTCAAAAATTAAATAAAATGTAATTATTTAAAAAGTGAGCGTTTTTCGGTAAAAAGGCATATGAGACTTCCAATGCTACCAAGACTCTGCAAAATAGTTCTTTAGTTGTGAATGACTTATCCAACAGTTCTGCTATGAATTTTTCCCTGAATCTGCTCTGAGTTTTTCCTCACTATTGTAAGAATGTAAGTCGACTGTAAATGAATTTCAATTGCCGCAAACGCTGTAAAACATTGACAAAATTTAGCCTAGCATTGCAAGCTTTTTACCAAAAAAGTCCTCAATTCAAATGAATATGGAATTATAAGTAAAGATATTAATCTTTTACCTTTTATATCGGGGCTTAATAAAAATAAAAAGTTTAGAATCTCGAAATAATATTAAGAGATCAAAATTCAGATGATACTAACATTTAAAGATTGATACGTTTTTTTTTAGATTTTACATAAGATCATGTTTTAATTATCTAGTAATTAAATAAATTGATTCAACCAAAAATTGCATCATTAATTTATATAACCTAAGTTTTAATTATAAAGAATTGCAATTTTTAAAACATGAGTTTGACGGTTCGGACAAAAAGTAATCCGTGATGGACCACTGCAGCCTGCAAAAATCGGTGAGGATGTTAAATATTCTGGTCGTTTTCATAAAATTCCATAATTTACAGTGGTTGTTTATTCTTCAATTTTAAGAGAACAATTCCTAAGTTTCTCCTACTACTTCCACCTTTATCTGCCCAATAGACACCCCATGGAGAGCAATAACTTTAAAAGTGAAGTTTTGGAAAGATGGACCTAGTGCTACTTAGCGGGGAAAAACTTCGATGGATATGGAACACTCAGTTTTCAGGCGAGGTAACTGAGGTTTTCAGTTATGGAAACCGAACTTCATTTCCGGCGACCAATAGTTATAGCCTTCGTTACACTCATACTAACACTCGTATTCCTCACGAAAGACTTCGGTTATCTGAACTGGAACCCTATAGAACTGAAAACTTCGATTACCAACGGGTTGATTATTGAGATTGGTGGGCAAAGCCAAGGACAAAGAATACATTGAAGAAATGGAGGGATCCTGTTGTTGGAAGAGGATGGTTGCAATGCACAAAGGTGGTAAGTAATAAACTGAGTAGTGGAAATGTTGCATGTGTAAGGAATTTGCGATTTGACTATCGATTCATATATAAAAGTTCGCAAAAAACACGATGGTGCCACTGGTTTTCTCTGAAATCATCTCCCAAGCTTAAAAAAAGCTCTCAAGTTGTGGCCAAAATGGAGCGGATATCCCACGCCATCTTGAGAGTCCACGTCTAGATCAAGACAAACTTTCCATGCAAAGATGGGGAGCAATAATTACATTAGCAGGGTTGCCGTGTTCTCAGTTTTAAAGTCCCCAAATAAAGTGGCAGTCCTGTCAATGTATTTGCTCCCTATCTTTGCATGGAGAGTTCGTCTTGATGTAGAGGTGGACCCTCAGGATAGCGTGGGATATCCCATCCATTTTGGCCTCAACTTCAGAGCTTTATTTGAGCTTGGGAGTTGATTTCAGAGAAAACCAGTGGCACCATCGTGTTTCTCGCGAACTTTTACATAAGAAACAGTAGTCAAATCGCAAATTCCTCACACATGCAACATCTCCATTGAATCAGTCCTCGTGACCAAAGTATTTGGCCTCCCCGTCGACCAGAAGATTTATCGAATTAATTCTAGTCCTTCGTCATTCCTTAAATTTTTAAAAATCATAAGCAAAACTTAATAATTGTTCGATTGGCTACGAAACGACCAATTTTATGATATTTACTTTTAAAGGAAATTTGAGAATTAAGAGAGATATCGTACCTTTTTCGTCCGTTTATTCTTAGTCGACAACAGATACCCGAAAACAAGCAAGCTTTTGGAATGATCTCAACGGATATAACCTCGCACCCACTCACTGATCAAAGGAACGTTGAGCATTTGCGTCAACATTTTTTTGCCGGAAATTTCCACACCAACATCCTGGTCTTGATGGCACGTGAAAAAATGACGCATGATTTGCGCAAAAACCTGTCGCTTGAATTAAAAGAACAGTGAATTTTTTGGAATACCTGCCACTTAGATTTTATCCCACGATAGAGGGGCATGCCTATACTACGTGTTAAAAACTAGACGAGTGTAAAGGACTGAGAGACATGACACGCACTTGTTCTGAAATAACCCGGAAAAAGGTACATTTGAAATGAGGCTGTCTTTGTTAATGCCGCGTTGATACTTTTTTCAGTCGAAAATCCGAAACAATATTTTATTTGAAAAAGAAGGAGGAAAAAAAGAACATATGCGGAACAAAGAGATGGAACCACACGACTTGGCTCAAAAAGTATGCAATATGGGAACAATCGATTATATCCATGTACATGAACGTATTCGAACAGAAACGCACAAAATCGTACTTTGAGGGAAAATAAGGTCGAGGTATTTTTGAATTCAAATAGTTGTACATTTCCTGGCGTCAAAAATTCGTATTCGAAAAATTTTGAACGCGAAAACAGTTGTTAAACTTCGTTTCACAGTGGGTACTATCTCCAATCACAGATATACTCCCCTACAATTAACAGAAATACAAACCCACTTACATGCGATGAACCCAATATTACTATCAAAATTCTGAAACTCTTCACCTCTCTTAATTTAAAAATCTAAATTTTCGTAAATACTCCCATTTTCAAAATTCTCTGTAAAGACGGTAATAGCCTGTGACGCTTAATGTCTTAAAATATACTAACTAACTAACGAACTAACTAACTAACTAACTAACTAACTAACTAACTAACTAACTGACTAACTAACTAACTAACTAACTAACTGACTAACTAACTAACTAACTAACTAACTAACTAACTAACTAACTATAAAGTTTCAAAGAGCCCGCTGAATACGTATGGTAAGTTAGTTAGTATAGGTACGTTTATTTAGAGGTACCTTAACAACATGAAGTCCTTAAAACCCTGGAGAAGAGCGATCAATAGAAATGCGAAAAATAGAAAAAGACAAGGAAATAATAAATTAAGTGTGAAAATCAAGTTTTATAGCGAGGGGAGGGATCAGTAGAAAAAATTTCGAAATTAAGGTATTGAGATCAGAAAAAGGAGGGAAGAATTTGGATCTCATATTTGTCGGTTTCCATTGGGCTTCCATATGCTCTGCTACTTTAAGCCGCCACTCCTTTCAATATGACTGATTATAAGATTTTTCCACAAAATAAGGTCAATATGGTCAGCGGCGAGGCACGAATGATCGATTATCGATATTTCCCCATTTGAAGCTATGATAAAAGATCGATTATTAAGGCGTTCGCCGCGAACATCATGCTTATCGATCTTTTTTCAAGGTTTAAATGGAAGCTCAATCGATACATCGCAAAGCACGTCACGCCGCTGAAGATGGTCCAAAAATCTAAACTTTTAGTGATGTAGAGCTGATCGTTACAATAAAATTTAGTACAAAAATTTCTAAAAGGTCCAGATTCCGAAAATATTCAGCAAGTTTATGTTAAACATTACAGAGCATATTCTGCACAATTTGTCTCTAAGAATCGAAATAACAGAGGACATCTGTGTATGTTGTTAGAGGCCTTTTTCACAATTTTTTTTGGATAGCGAACATTTTAAGCATACGAGCGAGAAATTTTCATGTGAAGGGGAAAAAACGGGAGACCTTTATTTATGATTGATTAGCATCTGTGAAAATGACGCGGCAATGAATGCACTTGCCTCATATCTACGTTGAATTCCCTGTTTTAATCAATTCACGCTTGTTATGATAAAGTTCCTAAAACCACATTTCCCCTTCGTGGAAAAACACCACGAAAAACACGTTTCATTAAGTCAACCACGGGCATAGCGGCACTTTGTGCCCTTGGATAGTTTCTGACGGTGCGAAATTATTAGTTGCGCGTCAATGAAAAAGAAACAGGAGGGTTTTTTTTTGGGGGGGGGATTTTGAAGTAAGTGCCCAAAAAAATCGAACCGAATCGTAGCTATGACGGATCAGATAACTAAAGTGGACGAGGGCATGGAACGGCCAAATGACTGTACAAACTTTATGTCCACACACAAAATTAAATACATATCCGCTCGCAAATTATTCTTCGGGACACTAAAGAGAGTAAGCGATCCGTCTAAATCCGTCCGGTTTTCCCAACTCGCCAAAATTCTCTCGACAAAAATTCTGCCTCCATCGGGATGACTGTCATTAGAAAAAAAATCCTGATAAATGCCTTATTTCCATGAAAAATTGCATCAAATTCCTTGAAAAATTTAAAAAAATAATGGAAGCAAATTCCTCAAAATTTTCAAAAAAATCCGCACAAACGTACATACATTTGTATATGTCGCTTTATAGCACTCCCTCGTGCTCTACGACACCTAACCTCCACTGCTCTCTGTCGAACCACAGACCTTGGGGCATTGAGCACCTTAACACCTTGTTAAGGTGCTATTTAAGCTTTCATACTTTGTCTAGTGGTCCATAGCACGCACTTGAGTATTATTTCCATCATTTTCAGCGACCGAAACAACCACAATAAGTTATTTAAAGGTGATTCGATGGACGCCATATTTTGTGTCAGAACGGCATGCGATATATCGCATCGATTACTTCCATTTTTAGAGCTACTTGTCATTATTCTCGAGTTTTGAGATCGCAATTCTGTTGTCAGGAGACTAAAGCACACATTACCAATTTTAACAAAGAAATTCAACGTAACAAAGGCGTTGTTGTTTCAGAGAGAAAACATCGCATTCGATCCTGATATCGAAACTGCACTCGAATGCGATATTTTTTCTCTAAAAAAACCACGCCTTCATTACGTTGAACTTCTTAGTTAAAATTGGTAAGTGAGTGCTTTAGTCTCCTGACAACAGAATTGCAATCTCAAAATTGGAGAAAAATGACGAGTAGCTGAAAAAATGGAACCAATTGATGCGATATATCGCATGCCGTT